GGGCTATAAAATGGCACCCAAATCCTCTCATTTTACACACAATCCTTCAACATTTTCAATACTCCTTCATTGCATAATCATTCCTATTTTTCTTAGCTATTTGAGAGCCAATTCTTGAAGAAATTGTCGTGTTCTTGAGCGTTTACTAGTTCACTCATATCTACTCTTTGTGAGAGTTTCATTCCTGAGTGTTTAAGTGTTTTCATACACTTTAAGGGAGTTTGTTCCCTTGTTGTAAACTCGAAGGAAGTTTCTTGTTCCTTCGTGAGAAGTCTTGGAGTGTGGTATCTCCGAGCAAAGGTATTGAGGCTCGTGTGACTCGGGTTCTCAAGTTGTATCGGTTTGTTAAGCACCCTTAAGCTTAACGGAGTTAGTGTAGCTCGAGAGAGTCTCTCGGGGGGCTGGATTAGCCACACGTTGTGGTGAACCAGGATAAAATCCGGTGTGCTCCTTCTTTACGCTCTTTACTTTAACGCTCTCGTTTTAATTTCCTGCGATTTTGTTTTAAACGCTATTCACCCCCCCCTCTAGCGTTGGGCCTTTATTCTAACAGAGGGGGCTACCTTGAGTTGTTTCACCGTGAAAAACATCCCTTCTCTTTGTGAGTTCTTTGTGTGATATTTCTCTTCCTCTGTGAGTTCATCTCAGTTCTTCTCCGTTTCTTTGTGAGTGGAGTGTGGCGAGGTTGGGTTGGGGTGTTGCTCCTTTTGGTACCCTTGTAGTGCACAACTACTTACCGACTTTTACGGGTAACCTGAGCCTAATCGGAATAAATAAATACACATAACAGGGGACCAAACTAATGAATGATAGCTAACAGTTTTTACTCTAAAATAAAAGTCTGCACTGTAACAATTTGTCACTATATATTGGCATTCCAGAGTGTTTTTGTTCTTAAACATTGACATTATTGACATCATAAATCTTATTTCGAGAATAAAAACATAAACTTCTATTTTGATACTTTGTGTATATTTATCCCTAATTTAGTCTTTTTCGCTGGTGGTGTCCTCATATATAGAAAATGTTCTACTATTCTGTGCTCCACAAGAGGTCTGACCTCTTCTTTATTTCATTAAGTCAAAGTCCGTGTTGAATTCGTGCCTACCCATGTCTTCATGACATATTTATATGGTAAAACAGAGGGCTATTATTATTTTCTCTACTGACCTCATTCACACTATGTACTCCCATTCACAATAAAATTTTAGGCTTTTAGGAAATGGACGAAATGAAGACAGGAGAGAGGAGAGGGAGAAGGTTGAAATTGCTTTCTATCCTAATAAAGTATCATAAGGTCTTCAAATAGACATTTTATATAATATGGCATTAGAGTTGAATGCCAAAAGAACTATCAATTTTACATTGTTACTTCTTTAGTTATGAAATGAGCAATATAAATTATGAAATACGAACTCATTATCGAGGGAAACCGTTTATTTATCCTTTCTGAGGAGACATTGGTAACTTTATGTCTAAAGAAAACCCACATTTATAACAAATCCCTTACAAAGCTTGAAAAGTAAATAAATAAATAAATAAATAAATTAATTAATAAATAAAATGCAAAAGAAATGAAAAAACAAACAAATGCAATTCAATTACCAACATCATAAACCTTCTTCTATGACCTATTAGTGTTTACACGAAATTATCTATTATTGCTCTATGCTACCATGAATTCCATTCCACTAGAATTCACTTTTTAAAAAGCAAAGTTCATCCAAACTTGTCCATGGATTTTTGTGAACGAGTAACATATATTGCTTCAATGCCAAGCGGATGCCGATATGAGGTTTCGGTCTTTCCATCCCAATAGCATAGCCCCATCTTCTTCAACGAGTGTGTAATGTTCAGAGTAAGTCCCGAGGAGGCCTTTTATGACCGAATTAACATAAGAGCTAAGAGGAAACTGTTGAAACCCCGCCATGGTGAACCTCGATTTCCATTTCCCTAACATCTCATGTCGCTCCACCCTCTCTTTTCCCTCACAAGCAATAATGTTCACCAAGTCTCTTGCCAGGCAGTGCTGCTCAACATTGATGCGCTCCTTTTTGTCCCTTGCTAAGGTCACGTCTAGCGACTCGAACATGGCTGAGTAGTAATCCAGAGCTTCTTTGAACCTGGGGAAAAAGGGAGCCGTGTTGGTGTTTGATTCTTGCTCCACCAATGTAACCACCTTCGGAGACATGGATTTCACCATCCTCAGAAGCCCGTCTCTTGGATTGCTGACATCGACGCTTTCATCAGGGGTGTGGTGGAGCTGTAGAGGGAAGTTTACTGCCAGAGACTCACCAGGCCGGACATCAAGCATGTCTCTTGTTATAAGTGTCGCGAAAACAGGAACAGCATGGAACTCTACTGGGACGCCGAATCTCTCAGATACGGCTGCAAGGCGTTTACCTACAGCAGCTAGACCATCACCCCGGGCATGCCTAGAAACTGGATCGTCAATCCCTGTGATGCGCACGTGGGGGGGGCCACCAGGCCTTGCGGCGAGTGCTTGTAGGAGAGTCATCCATTGGGTCCCTTGTGCAATTTGGAAGTCTATTATATGAATGTGATCGTCGCTTCTGCATGCTCCGGCTATGGCACCATTTGCAGCCATGTAACCGAACTTTAGGTACGGGCATATCTCGTACAAGATGTGCATGTAGGACATTAAGTCCTTCCCTGCAGGCTCGTGACATCTCAATGCCCTATAGATGTTGCTACCTGATGCCTCTTTCCTTGCAACTAGACCTTCAACCATGTAAGTCCCGAGGCGCTGGATGGGATCCCCTGAGATGGACACTACCCCACACGCGTGCTCCACCAGTCTGTCGAAATCAAGTAGTTTGTTCTCATCAAGTGCTCGTGCACAGGCTATAAGCAGCCATTTGATATCATTAACAGGAGGAGGAGGAGCAAGAGACACCGGTGTTTCTTCGGGCGCCATCAAATCACTCTCCAACTGCCACAAAACATGTTCCATCTTCTGGGTGTGATTTGAACTGCCCCTGTTATAGTCCAGTGAAAGCTCACTAGTGGATCCAGAAAAACTTTGTGCAGAGAACTCCTCACTCTCAGTTAAAGCAGTTGGGGTCTGGGAATCGGTATAATTAGCAAAGGGCGAATTGGGAGAACCCCTTGAGCTCAACTTTGAGGAATCAAAAGGCGGTGTAGTTGGTAAGGACTGAATCATGGGGAATGAAGAGAGCGATAAATCGGCTCCTGTTCTGATGTGTGCAAAACAATGACGAGATTCCATGCTAGAGACAAGTTTAGCAGCATGGGCTGCACCAGGCACAGATTGACTATTATCAAAATCAACATGAGACTATACAAGTACAACATTGTCAAAGTCTATCTATGTTCTATTGATTTAACCAAACTTAAAAGAATATGCAAATAAAATCAATTTAGTTCTACACACAAAAAACAACAACAATAGCATTATCTTGAGAAGAAACATACCAAAACAACAAATAGTCCACCTTAAAGAACTTTGTATGACCAATCATCAATTTAGTGAGGAGAATTTATTTAGGCAAGATTAGAACCACATAAAAAATGATAATGCATTTGGCCCAAGAATCATGTTTGTCCCCAAAAATCTTTAAGAACCTGTTGTGCTAGAGTTTTCCATTATCAACAACTCAATTCAAAATGCCAAGAAAAACCAAACTACAATATCTCCTCTAACTTTATTGTGCTTTAGCTGGGCATGTACATTTTTTATTAAAAATTGTATGATTGATACTCATGCAAAATAAAATTAGGACAAATCATATGAATCAAGTAATGCTTTCTATAAACGGGGCATGCGAAAAAAAACATACTCCGTAATAAACTGTGAAGAGGGAGTACTAGATTAAGAATATAAAAAGTGGTGAGTGAAAATTTCTAGAAGCCCTGGTTTTAACTTGTAATAACATAATCAAGGAGCATGCTGAATGCTGAAATCATTACTTAATAAGTACGGTTTCTTATTTACAGTAGAATTAACACTTGAACCCCGGGCAGAAGATCGAGCTACTCCCTCTCTCCCAATTATATCCATACTTTCTTCTCAAAATCAACTTCACACTTCTACCATATCCCTTTAAAGAGAAGATTATGCGGCTAACAACAATCTTTCTTCAAAACAAATCCCTACCACCAATTTTTAACTTCTAACACTTTTCTTAAATATCGTAAATCATACTGTGAATTTAATTATTCCAAACAAATTCTTACCACCCACTTCTAGATTTTAGACACTTTCCTTAAATTTTATGAATCATACTACGGATTAACCACAGTACTAGTATTTTTTGTCCCTATCAACTTTTCACGTTAAAAAAATGAAAAATGAATACTCCACAGTTGATATTTACACCCAAAAAAGTGAATCAAATAACCAAACGTATCATATGAAGCATACACATCTTCTTAGGAGAGATAAAAAACGAAAAAAATATATCACACAGAAACAAAAAAAATCTAAATTAAGAGAAAAGTTTTTGATAGCTAAGATCAAAGACCAAACCCTAAAAAATCTCCTCAATGAAACTAAGAAGCAATTCCTGCAAATATTTTCCCCTTGCAAAAGAATAACTACTGATCCCGAAAGAAAATGTTGCAAAACACCAACTTACCTGGCCTTGCGGCAGAAAAGAATAGAATGGAGTTCAGCTGGTGGAGTTCGAGCTTTTTATGTGTGTATGACGGTGGGTTTGGGTCGGGTGTCCCGAAATGGGTTATCTTCTGTACATGGAAATGTAAGGTTGTGGTTGAAGGGATCGGACAGAGGAAACGGATAGATAGATTCGTTTGATTTATACGAGTGTTGGGGACCTGAGAGAAGGGGTGTTTTTATAAGTTTTAATATGCTATCCATAAAATACTAAAAAATGAGTTTTAATATGGTGAAAATTAATTTGGTAATAATTCGTGCAGAAAATATAACGACGAGTGTACCCCACACGTACGAGGACGGGGTCCCGAACTCCAGCGTTGAATTTGACGAATCCCCTGACGCATGAGAAGGGGAGGGAGGTTCCTAGTCGCCGACCACATGTTTCCATCCTGCCATTCTACATTTGATTATTTGAACAACCATGCTAGATCTCCACTTAGAATATACCTCCAAGTCTACATCAAAATTATATATTAACATTTTGATAGTTTAGATTGATATAATATTTTAATATGATCAAAAAATTTATACTACTTCCTTCATTCCTAATTTGATTACAAATTGCAGGTTACGGAGTAAAACTTTTGTTGGAGTTCCCACATCGGAAAATAAAGATGAGTATCACTTGCATATATTGAAGAGTGAAGCCTTACCTATCAGCTTAAGCTTTTCGGTTAGAATTATGGATCCCAACTTTATATGCAAGTGGTTAATTTTACCCAACACTCTATCCGTTATTCTTAGCCCGCCGGAATTTTAACATGGTATCAGAGCAGGTCCGGTCCGGGTTTGATTGTTCCTGGTTGTTTAGATGTGGGTTTAGCAAAAATGAGCTACCCGTATGTGGTGTAGGCTGAGTTGGCTAGACCCGTTTGTCCAGGTGCTAACTGGGCCAGGCTAGTTACCACTTGCGGGGGAGTCTTGGAGTTCCCACATCAGAAAATAAAGATGAGTATCACTTGCATATATTGAAGGGTGAAGCCCTACCTATCAGCTTAAGCTTTTGGGTTAGAATTGTGGATCCCAACTTTATATGCAAGTGGTTAATTTTACCCAACACTCTATCTGTTGTTTTTCGCCCGCCGGAATTTTAACAATTTTCTACTTTTTGAAATCATTTTATTTACAAATTGGTATATCAATAAGATATAAAAATTACATATTAAAAAACTATGTCAAAAGTTCTACAAAACAAGAGGTGACAAAAATATTTTATTTTATCAAATACTTAATGAAATCGCGTAAACAAACAAAAGTTATCAAGAGGAGAGAGAAAAAAATTGTAATCCATTTAGGGACGGAGGGAATAGTATTTTTGTGCATGTGTGAATCATCACTCTAGTATCACACTATCACAAAATGAAGATGTATACCTACGATTTTCAATTTTGGGTACAACTTTAAGATTACAAGTACTCCCTCCGTCCTATAATGATCTTCCCAGACCACTATTCCAACTTCACGGGAATTTATATTTATTTGTGTTTTTTCATGGCCTATATGATAAAATAAAATATTCTTGTCACCATTTGTTTTTTTGAACTTTTGGTGTAGTTTTTAAATATGTATGTTTTATTTTTTTATTTCTATACCAATATTTAAATAAAATAGATTGAAAAAACTTGAGATTTTTCTTCGTTTTGCGAACCGGGAAGATCATTATAGGACGGAGGGAGTAACTTAATTCTTAGGAAAATGTTAGGAGTACACCAAAGGTATACCCTAAATATCCTTCATCCCCTCCATAACCATAAAAATTTGCATGTACAATTCAAAAAAAAATAAAAACCAAATACAAATAAATGTTAAAGAGGCATGCGGTGTACAATTGAGGTACACTTTTGGTGTACCCCTAGCATCTCCCTAATTCTTATTTGAAACAATTGAAAACCTCTCCCCATTCCCTTCCTCATTCATCTTTAGGTCAAGTTATCATTCTCCTTTTTTTTATATAGACTAAAACACCTATAATGTTACTCTACTTTCACCTCATCTCTCCATTTAATTTACAATATTCATTATTTTTAAAAAAAACTTATATAGGTTTAATAAAAATATTTATCTATTAATAAAAATAGATAAATAATAATAATAAAATAATATTTTGTTTGAAAACATTTTATTTAATAGTGGAAATAAATAAAATAAAAAAATAAAGCAGCTCGCCATTTTCCGCACCCCAAGCCCGCCCGTTGTAGATAGACTTGGAAAAACAGAACCGGAACCGATTACCTGAACCGAATTATCCAAAACCGAAACCGAAATGATCTGAAAAATGAAGATCCGATCTATAACCGAAAACTTGAAATGATCCGAATCGAACCGAAAACGAACTAAATAATTTATATCCAATTTAAATCCGAAAACGATTAGATCCGAAACCGATAATATCCGGACCAATTAAACCCGAAACCGATTAGATCAAAACTGATACTACCCGAAACCGATAAAACTCGAAACCGATTAGATCCAAAACCGATAATATCCGAACCCGATTAGAACTAAAACCGATAAATTCGGAAATGTGTTTGCCTTTCAATAAGCATATTATATTTTTAAATTTTTACTTTTATTTTACCATGTGAACTAATTACATTACTTGCCCATTCTCTCATAAAATGGATTATCATCTTGAAATAAAATTACAAAATCTCATGCCTTAAATTTATTATATTTAGAAATTGAAGATAAGTTATACATATAAAATTTTGGATGAATAAAGTGAGCCAACTGTTTTGTTATTAACAAAATTAAAGGGAATAAAATATTTGAAAAACAAGGTAAGGCATCAATTGAAAAAAATTAGGTCTTAGAGTTGAAGATGAATGGAAATTGAGAAATGAGTTGAATGGTGGTATAAGAAAATTGATAAGATTAAGCAGGAAAAGTGAAAAGGAATGAGGAAAATTTTGAGCATAAGAAAATTGATAAAAAAGTAAGTCTTTGATTAGATATTATATGAAAATTTTAAGTTTTTAAAATTTATTTTATTTAAAGATTGGTATAAAAATTAAAAAATGTCTACATATTCAAAAAAAACGTCAAAAATTTCCATATTTTTTAAATTGTAAAGTGTGATATTCTTTTAGGAACGAAAAGATTATATGATGAATTGTATGGAATAACTATACTTTATCCTAATTTCATCCAATAACAATAATTTTTATTAGTTTGAGAGTTAATTTGATTAGTTTCAAACCAATTCACTCAATATTAGTCAATAACATTAGATGTTAGTGTTAGCATTTTGAAAAGACTTTATACCGGCAGCATCAAGTGTTATCGTTTTCAAATTTAATCTACACCATTACATTTAGGTGTAAAATTAATTATATTTGACTCTATTAAATTTAATTTGATCTAATTTCAACCAAATACACTCATCAAATAATTTATAATTTTTGCACTCAATTGAATAATGTTCACTTAATTTCATCCAATTTCACTCAACTTTTACCAAATTGTATTTAGTTGGAACGTAACACTATTTGAATTTATCTTTTATCTTTTCAATTATAAACATCAATATATTAGTAGATGTGAGAAAAATTTGATATATCAAAACTAAATTTTAAAATCAATTTAATTATAATAAATTTATATCATAATTAAATATATATTTTTCATAATTTGTAGTCCAAATTTGTAAACTACGACTAAAAAGTCAAAAAGGGAAGATTGTTTAGGGTTGAGATAATATAATTAGAAAAAAATATAAAATAATATGAGGTATTGAATTGATGATAGATTGATAAATATGATAAAACATAATAAGAAACATGGATTAATAAAATTTTAATTAGAAATTAATATATGTCCAAAATATATTTGATCCGAAACCGAAATATATCCGAACCGAACTAGATCCGAAACCGAAATATATCTGATTCAAATTGTACCCGAACCAAAATCTATCCGAAACGATTTATAAGCAAACCTTTTCTAAACCGATTTGAACCGAAAAATTTATAGAACCGAATCAAATTCAAACCAAAATTAAACCGGTTCGAACCGAACCGATTATAACATCTATCCGAAAAATATCTCAACCGAAAAAATCCAACCCGAAACTGATCTGGTTGACCCGATTTCCACCTCTAGTTATAGATGCCCTTGCACAGATAAAATGTTTATGTATGTCGTTGCAAAACATAAGGTCGCGGTATACCCTAACACGACCACAACACATTAATCATCCCGAGCCTCAAAATGATACTCCCTCCGTCCCATTTTATAACGCCTGTTTCGGTTTACGATGTTTGACTGAAGTTATTTTCAAATCATTTTATATGACAAATGGTATATAGTTAAAAAATAAAAATTGCATATCAAAATACTACATCAAAAGATCTACAAAACTAGTGGTGACAACAATATTTTATTTTATCAAATTGCTAACGAAAATAGAGAAAGAAAGTGAATGAAATTTGACCCTGTGAATAGTGAACATGCATTATAATTTGGGACGGAGAGAGTACGAAGTAATCAATTTAAATAATAAAATTACCTCCACACAAAAATGATTTACATATTTACTATTACGACTTTAATAACTTTTGTTTATTTCTAAATTTTCAATTATCATTTAATTGAATAAAATGTTTTTGGCACTTGTTATTTTAAAAAAATTTATGTCATTTTTGAACATGTAAGATTTTTTCCCCCAATTTATAAATTAAATTATATTAAAAATCACAGAATTTTGAACGTCATTTAAATAAACAATATCATTTTGGTATACCCGTACAAAATTTTAGAATAAAAGTCCTAAATTTATTGTCTTAGTTTGAATTTACGGAATTTAAGAAAAAAATATTAAAAAATAAAAAAGTGAGTGGTTAAAATTTATTTAGAAGAAAGAAAAATCATATACCACATATTCTTTACTATGTTTAGTTCTAGAAATTTGCAAAGAAAAGAAAATAAAAGAAAATCATTTTCTCTCATTTTCCTCATCATAATGGAGAAATTTGATTTCCATCCTCTTAGTAGTTTTGCTTTCTCGTTTTGTTACCCTTTCACTTCTATTTTCTCCTCTAACCAAACATGAAAAATTGTTTTATCTCTCATTTTCTATTCTTCCTCCATTCACATTCCTTGAACCAAATATAGTGTTACTTTATAAGGAAAGTAAAGAAGTGATATA